AACAATATTAACAGAATAAACAATAAACAGTGTACTGACGAACCAAACACCGTATGTATGTATATACAGGGTGCTCATAAGAGGGTGTCACAAACTTCAGGGGCTGATAGTACTCATCAATCTTAACACAAGATTCACATAAACATAGGTCGAAAAAGTTTCGTTCAGCCGCTAGCCGCCATGTTGTATGTTTTACAAAACAATTATTTATATCTCAGTAACTACTCAAGCTACGAAAACCATACCTTGTACATACATTTATTGTTTCAAGAGGCAATTGCAGAAAAATAATCATGTAATTTTTTTTTATGGTGCCCATTTAAAATCTTTAAATTTAAATTACTAAAGAATGACTGGTTTTATCAAAAAGTAACAGGAACACTTTCATTTATTATTTTTAATTTCCTATCAAACGATACCAAGATCAATAAAGATCAAAGATCAAGTTAAAAAGATCAAATAAAGAATAGTTGAAATATCATGATTTTTAGTTGTAAAATGAGGCAATCCTGACTAGTTCAGCCTTAATCTACCCCATTTTACAACTAAAAATGGTGATATTTGCATGTGCAAAGTTTGGTTTCCGGAGCTTGAATAGCTCTTGAGATATAAATTGTTTTCAAAGTTTTTTCGACCTATGTTTATATGAACTTTTTTGTTTAGATTGATGAGTACTATCAGCCCCTGAAGTTTTTGACGCCCGTTTATGAACACCCTGTATATAAAACTGAAAAAGAAAAGTAAAACATACAATCGAACAATCGAACGTTGAGCTCTAGAAAGTTAGTTCAATTCCCACAGTGTTTCATAGGTTCCATGGGAATCATCCTAGAACAGAAGTGACAGTCCCATCAGACGCTCAAAAAAATCACTTTCCACTTTTGATTCTCACAGTAAATCACTGAAAGCACTTAACTTGCCACTTATCTTGAGTCTTTAATGTGAGAAAATTTTACAATATCAATCTGCAATTGTAGATCCCTTTTACTTTCATTTATGATGTATCTTTAATAATTAGACCTACTATTTTTGCGAATTTACCATATAGGGAATAAGCTATTACCGTATGTCATATGGTAAGACCTAGACAAATGGTCCCTAGAGTCCAAAAACACCATCTGTTAGTCAGCAGGTTTTCTGCGGCGAGGGTATGTAAATCGTGTACTGGTACTTCAGGAACTTATTATCTTATAATTTCAAAGATTAAACACTTGTTGTACTAATAATAACCCGTTTGATGATAGGCTTGTTCATTGGTAAAACATTGGAATTCTTTCCTTTAACCCAATGCTAATTAGCAGGCCTATTACCTTTGACAAGTGTTATAATAGAGAATGCAATATGCGTTGTGTGGGTCTAAAGTGTATTTGACCCTGGTGTGAACCCTTACCGACTAAACACCTATTGGTCCAGACAATGAAACGCTGCCAATTTTGACAAGCTCAGATTGCCTTAGATTATATTAGAGTAACACTGTTTTTACAGTACCCCAGTCACCGAATTGAGGAAATCCAACTTCTCTCCCAAAGATTTTAATACGAATACGTGAGATTTCTTTATGTCAAAATATCGTCTCAAAATCCGGTCGAACTGTATAATGGTTTAAAGAAACCATTTTATGTACGTTACTTGAAATATTTATAACTACGGTTAGCAAGGTGGGTTTGTAATAGATTATCATTACCTTTTGTGGGGTTTTATTTAAGTCACATAGTTGAAAAAAGGTTTTCAATGAGTGTTGTCTTACTGTTTTCCTGTAGAAACGGTTGGTCTGCGAATGACATATGAGGTGAAACAGCAATGGCTCACCATCTTGGATTAAGTTTTTGAAACAAAATAACTACAGTAACTACAAAAAACAATCCATATCAAAACAATTTTCAGTTATTCAAAATCCAAACCAACCGAAATTAGGTAGTATGAACAAACAATTACTTTTTAGTCAAAGCAAATCTAATTTCACCTTGCAGCAAATATTGTACACAGCCTAATATCATGTTCAGCATCTAAAATTACGTCCAATAAAATGGAAAGTAACTCAAGGGCTATGATTGACCACGTTGATGCGAAAGTTGGGCGTAACAGGACATGGACCACGAAAGGGAAACTCCTGGACGTCCTGATCCTGCGTCCTTCGTCCATCAGCTGACGGACCATGAAGAGAAAACGTCACCTCGGAGTAACAAGTCGCATGAAATGAAAGCCGAAAGCCGAAAGCCGCACTAATGCGGATAACAGCCGCTTTGTACAACGTGTTAGTTCAGGAACAGCTCGTGACTTTCTACAGACTTTGGTTATGTAGATCACACTTGTGGAGCGAGGGAGGGACTGAAAATGGTTGGGTCAAATAGGAACCATGGGGAAAAGTATGAGTTATTGGGACAAATTATAGAACTCAAGTATAAAAATATGTGAAATGGTTTGGTAGTACAGAACCATGGGGGGACTTGGTTGGGTAGCCGAATGGTTTTAGTGCTCACCTAACAATCAAAAGGTCGCCAGTTTGATCCTGAGAAAAGTGAGTAGCTTTTTGATGGTTCCAAACTGGACCAAGATGTTCCTGATCATTGGGCTTTAAATAAATGATCATGGCTAATGAAAAAGCTTATTATAGTCAGTAACAAAGCTACACATATCATCTCACACCATTCTAAACTCATCTTACACTCATATTTGGGTAAAAAAAACTCACACCTAGGTGGCGTCCCCATCTCAATAATTATTGATAATTGATATAATAATACTAATTAAACGGCTGGTCTTAGTCAGTAACAAAGTTATACAGATCATTTTACTCCATTCTACACTCACCCTTCATTAATATTCAACTTCAAAAACTCACCATTATGTTTCTGACTCAATATATAGATAGGTTATCTATCGATTTTTGTAAAATTAATTTAAATTCTACAACAGGACCCGTGCTCCAATTACGAATTTTAAAAGGGCTCAAAACTCGTTTCCGGAGGAAAATGAATAACAAAATGCCCTTATTTCTCCACTTAAACATATGGTATATAAATAAAATAACTAATTTAAAATTAATTAAATTTGTTGCATTTGGATAAAAAAATCATCATTTGTATACTAATATTTCATCCAACAGCCATACTTTGGCACTGTGGTAGCAGACGACACAGGATAAATTCATACAACGAATGAAGTCTCATTAATACAAGAGGATATTTATCTCGACCATTGATCATTGCTGACACCCTTTTCCTACTTCTAGACACATTATTTTCTATCCTAGACCATCGCATGACCGATTAGTGACTCTCTCTCTCTACCCATCTTCATCTCCAACCCGTTATCCTGTTTCCTGTCAGCCTCACCCTTCCGTCAGGATAATTGTCCTTTCAAGTCAATCACAATCTGGGAGCAACTGAACTTTCCAGCTAATAAAACCCAACTGTAGCACAGGAAGAAATTTAATACACAATCTTGGTTGTCACAGGCCAATTTCTTTTACTGTTTACTCATTTGGTTCGGTTGTAAATCGTCACGCCACTCGCTCGAGTTCGTTAAACCTTTCTTTGTTGAGTAAAGAGCTTCAGAACACGAATCTTGGTTTTATTACTTTTAGTCTTTGACAAAGCTGTGAAGAATAACATCAAAGATAAGAAATAATCTGATACGGTTTATTATACTCGTATGGTCAATAAAATCGACGTTACAACATCATCGTGAAAATGTTTTAATATTTCACTACATTGAATTTTACTTTATACATTCTTTATGTTAACGATATACATGCTATTTAGAGTATTCATTAGTCCCCCCCCTTTCATGAAAACGTTTTCACCAACCTCCTTCCGAAGGACATGTTTCTTAGACAACTTGTTGTCGTAAATATATTTACATTAAATAAGCTACCTTTCCGTAATTTTGTTCAAAAAGTTATCCTCTTTTATAATAAAATAGTTTTTAATATTTATCATTTCAACTAAAATTAGTTCACCATTTATTTTTAAACACAATTCAATCGTTGTTTACTAATGCCTATAATTATTTAGCATCGCAATTAAACTACGATAATACAACAATAAGTTCAGGCACAAGAGTGTTTTAATAGGCTTACCACTTTTGGTGAAAAAAATTAACCTAAGCCGGTTTAATTATCATTTATGACTAAGCCTTGAAACTGTGGAGTTTCATTTGCCCCATTACTTATGACGGTTCGGTGGATTCATATAAAATCGGCTTATATACTTACTCTCGTTCGTATTTATAAATACTTGTTCGTGTTTGATTAGGTTAGAACTGTATTCTGACTAAATAAAAATACACTCTATTTACACATCGCGTTTTACAACTTATTTTTAATATTAGTCTTGTTAATTAAAGACATTATGACACAGTAGTGTAGGCTTTTTTGTTTTTGTTCCAAACAAAATACCTAGCAAGTAAAAGTCCAAATTTGGTAATGCTCCCCGAAGGACAAAAAAATTTACTCCTTTCTATATTTGTATTAATCTTACAATAGCATATTACGAGCTGCCATACTCGTGCTTCGCTCCGGAAAGGGGACTCGAAAGAGAATAATGCTGTTCATTTAAACCTGCTGTATGAAATAGTTGCACGTTTATTATTTACTTTAGAAACAAATAACTTTTTACAACTAAGTTTAGTAAAAAAAAATTTCTGTTAAACTCAGATAAGGGGTCTTAAAGTATTTAGACCGTTCCCTGACCAAAACAAATTCGCTAAATCAATCATCACACACCCAATTTTATGCGCAACTGTGTACACTAAAATACAGGAAAAGCGTAACCAAACGCACACCATATACATAGCAAATCAATTTGCACTACTTGAAGACGATCCCCATAAGTAATTTCCGTATAAGCCCAGCTTCTCAGGAAGTGACCTCTTATCAGCGGCAAGGGAGAGAGAAAGAGAGCGAATGATACAGATGATACTACTGCGCTTGCGTGGAAGTGGAGGGGGGCGTCACCGTGCACAAGACATGCTCAGTTCTCTCCACTAGTGGTCGGGACTTGACGGCGCGCGGACCAGTGGTTGTGCGTGTGTGTGTGAAATGCCTACAGTGTTTCGTGTCATACACCATGGATAACAACAACAAGCGCAAAGGCTCTTGGGACTCTAAAGTATGTACCTTTATTTATGCATTTTTTAAATAATATTTTCCGATTGTTACCTTAATTATTTGTGTCTATGGAAGAAAATTCCCTCACTTATATTATAAATAAGTAATTGTGGTAATGTTTGAATGTAAAAGTAATTGAATATTAGAATGACTATTTGGTTGTTTATCATATGTTTCCAATTATATAACTAAGATAAGATTATCGGTTGGTTATTAGTTGACTGGATGCTGCATTATTATCAATAAGGGCATTGATGCTGAAGCTTATTTCTTATCAGGTTTGGCTGGTTTGGATGGATTAGGTTGGGGTTTAAAAATGATTTACAAGCTATTGTGACAGTGTGGATTTTAAAGGTAATAGGAGCAGATTTATATTTTGGTTGTATATCAACCATTTTCAAATTATCATAGTAAGAAAGTACTATGATGATGATCGTGTGTGAAGATAAGTTACGTATTTTTCCCCTAACTAAAGTACACAACAAGTATACAACAATTTAAGTCTTCGTACTTTATAGGAATGCGTAAATCTTCGGCAAGGAACCTATTTGCATGTATTTTCTCAATTTTTTTCTAATACAGTGTGTGTACTCTATTTACTTCAATGGCCTTATCAAAGAAGAAAATATAACTGTTCAATGTCAAGTAAAAATATTTATTGTTTTGCAAATTGTGTATGTGGATTTACGCTAACGTAAAAAATAATATGGTATCCAGGTTGTTAAATTTTTATTTGCCTTCTTTAATGATTGTTGAAATTGTCATATTGTACTACTTCGTACAGATTTTGAAATGACTTTGGTAATATGCATTGGAATTCAACTATAAAATCAATCTTTACTCCAAAATAAAATGTTTTTATTAGGATTTAAATAATCGATACTACTTTTTAAAGAAAGGTGAAACATTGTCTTGCAGCAAAAATAGTAAAATTGCTTTGTAAAATTTAAAATCCACGTGTTTTATCCCAAAAGCTAAAAGTGCATTACAGCATCAATCCGTGTAAAAGTCTTGCGCTCACTGGCTGGAAAATCGTCATGACATCTTACGGTGCTGAATCTCGGATTTCTTTTACTAAGAGGAAAAACATGTTTCAGAATAAATCAATGTTCATATGTTACTCGTATTACTCGTTATCCTACTAATTTTATAAATGAGAAAGTTTGGAGGTATGGATTGATAGATGTTTGTGACAAGTATATGTGATAAAAACTAAACCGACAGGGTTGAAATTTGGTATGATAATAGCTCGAATTCCCGATTAACATATAAACATATTCTTATCTCAAAAATCCTTTCGGGCTCCATCCTAGTGGCTTTGGAGTTTCCTATGTTAACCTTATAATTATCTATGTATTTCTAGGCAAGGATGTTTCTTTAAAACCTTTTTACTCAGTTCGTGTAGCCTAACATCGAAAGAAAAATCTACGCATACTGTTGGAATTATATTTTCCTGTTTATAGGCAGAACCCCTTCATAAATTAAAATAGGCTAAAAAATAAGCAAAAAAAATGAATTTAAAATGTAAAAAATTAACATCGACCTTAAGGTAGCCATGCTGGTAACGAAATTACAACGAAAATCTAAACAAATGGAAGAAATTCCAATCACATGTTTTATTTACAGCGTAAGGTGAAAATAGAGAAGTCCGTACACTACATATTTTTGGTCGACCACTGGACGACCTCTAGTACGTATTAATACATAGCCAATAACGTGTAATGTATTTTTTAATTTCTTTTGGAGGCTGAGTGATCTCCTTTACTCCACAACTGCTCTTAACCCTAGTTCTATTGATTTTCGTGGATATAAGGACAGTGATGCGCCTTTACCGTTATGATACGGCTGTTCTATTTTATTTGTGACAATCGCCTATTTAGTCCAGGCAAATTAGATCAAATATAGGGTGTGCTGCCCAAAAAATCGTCTAAAGCTGGAAAGTGTTTTGATACCTTTTGTGGGTCCCAAATAAGACTCCTGTGAGTTTGCGACGGATTCTGACGTCTGCTTAAGTTTTGGGAGTCGAAAAACTATGAAAATTTTGCACTTTTTTCAGTTTTTCGCTTATAACTCCTAAATAACGAATCCTAAGGAAAATGTTGTTCAAAGGTGTCTTTTAGTGCGTTAAATTCCGCGTCGATTGATGTTAAATACGTCAAAATCAAGCTAGCCGTTTAGCCGCTGTAGCTTTTCAAAGGTGGGATACTTTCATCAACATGGCCAAAAGGTTGATTATTTGACCAGTTTTCGGCTTAAAACTCCTAAACGACGCATGCTATACAAAAATGCACCTGTAGTTAGTTTGGAAAACACCAAATTCTGCGTATAATGTTTTTTTTATTAATCAATAACGGCAATTGATTGTTACCTACTTTGTATGGACGCTATTTCATTGAAAAAAGTATTAAAGTTAAAGTTGGGAAATTTTAATAAAATTGGTAACAACACAGATCCTGTCCTTAAATGGATTATGAATTATTAGATAGTGGTTTATTCCATGATGGTCATCTAGAGGTTTATCTAATAAGGTGTGAAGATAGTAAGACCCCCTATGTAATTTTAAGTCTAATATTGTTGTATGAGGTTCCGAAAGTTCTAGGATTCATCCCAACCACCCATTATATACGATCTATCCCTGTATTCATCTTTCAGTTTTTGGCTTACATCTTCTAACGCATGCTATCGAAAAAATGTTCCTGTAGTTAGTTTGAATATAATTAATTGTCCGCGTAGAATGTTTTCCAATTCATTAAGATCGGCTTCACCATTTAACCGCTATTGATTGTTAACACTAGATCAGATGCTGGTCAAGTTTAAAATCTTACCATTGAAATCTGGCAAACAACCAGCCTAATTACCAAAACCATAGGGGATATGGCAGTGAATCTATCCACTAGTGTGACGTCATGGATCGTGCAGCATGGCCTATGAACAAGTAAGTGCTCAACATCTTACTGTGGAGAGCTTTTTCTGAAATAGGGGAATCAATGATGTGGACCTAGCCCGATGGTTCGCTGGCAGGCCCATCGCAGTGAATGCTACCCATCAAGTTAAGGTATATTGTGGGATCACCTCTTCAACATAATATTATCAGCAAGTTGACAATATAAACTCCACGGATACGGCGAGATCAAAAAGAAATTCATCAAATGGTTCCAGTGTCAATATCCATTTACTGAAAATAGTTCGCTCATGTCAATCAGCTCAGCAGTTATCCCATATGATAGCATCAACGCGAGATATGTATAAAGCATAATGGAAAGGCACAGCTTGCAAGAAAATCGTAAATAGGCAAGCCTATAATGACCATAAACTGTGCAGAATAAAAGGAAGTGGTGACATTAATCGCGAGCTGTGATGGCAACAGCAAAGGTTAAAGAAGAATCAGCCCCCTCAGTCAACACGTGATATTCCACATTAAATCCAAGCCTCAATTCGAATCATATTTTGGATTAAAAATAGGTCCGTGCCCACTAGCGCAGTTTGATGAAGAAAGCGTGATGTAGAAGAGTCGAAAATCTAACTATTCATGTAGCCTAAAACTACTCATGCTGTTTACTCCAATCAATGTGGATCTCACTGTGTTCTGACGGGTTACAACGCTTGGCGAAGTTGCAGAAGCAGGTTGGCCCTATACATGGTTGGGAGCAGAAAATATCCAAATGAAGTGAGGGTTGGTCTCTTCTAGAGGACACTTTCAACTAATTTTGACTTTGATTCTAACAAAAGGGGCTGCTCATCCACCAATCCTTTAGAGCTCATTTAAAATTGTACTTATAATTCAGAGAGATGGTATGGAAAATTAACGTCAATGGGTTAACTCCCATCACTACGGCTAATCCACCGGTTCGACAAGAACTTCTCAACTCCGTCTACCTATCTCGACCATCGTGTACATGTTAAAAAGGTTTACATTTTCTCGCTCCATATGAAATGCAGGGATATAATGCACTACTGTCTGTCACCGAATGTCACCATTTGTGGCAAGACAAATAAGAGCAAAGAATGAATCCTTATTCTTAAGATTCCAATGATGAGAAGTAGAAAAGTTTTATGATAAAATCTACGAAAAATCCCAATCGTTTTTTTTAATTGGCTAAATACATAGTAAAACTATGTACATCCGTCCCATTATCATCTTTCGTTTATTAAGCTAAAAAATAACATTTTTGCTATATTTAATAAAATCTTTCTCGTTGTAATATCTTATTATATATTAGAATCACTCAACATCATTCCAGAGTGTCCAGAGATGGGATCGTATAAGTGGAAGCTTAGGACGAATCCTAGAATTTTTGTAACCCCCTCAACAATATTAGATTTAAAATTGCATAGGGGGGTCTTGCTACCCTTCCCTTCACACATTCTTGGATAAACCTCTGGATGATAACCATGAATTAAACCGCTTTCTAGTCATTCATAATCATAATTCTACGCAAAATTTTGTGTTTTCCAAACTAACTACAGGCGCATTTTTGTATAGCATGCGTCGTTTAGGAGTTGTAAGACGAAAACTGGTCAAATAATCAACCTTTTGGCCATGTTGATGAAAATATCCCACCTTTGAAAAGCTACAGCGGCTAAACGGCTAGCTTGATTTTGACGTATTTAACATCAATCGACGCGGAATTTAACGCACTAAAAGACACCTTTGAACAACATTTTCCTTAGGATTCGTTATTTAGGAGTTATAAGCGAAAAACTGAAAAAGTGCAAATTTTTCATAGTTTTTCGACTCCCAAAACTTAAGCAGACGTCAGAATCCGTCGCAAACTCACAGGAGTCTTATTTGGTACCCCCAAAAGGTATTAAAACACTTTCCAGCTTTAGACGATTTTTTGGGGAGCATATGTCTAATTTGCCTGGGCTAATTTTATATCGTAAAAATAAGCCTTTGAAAACTTTAAACTGGTGTAAATTCATTGCCATTGTTTCCACAATAATCACCTGATAAAATAATAATGATAAAATATAATATGATGGATTAGGGTCGGAAACGAG